CACTATAATATCTCCTGAAGAAGATTCATTTTTTGAAATGTTGTTATGTAATCCGGAGACGACATTGTGTATCATGTTATAGTGCTTTAAATTGCAATACATAAACAGCATTCTTTATAAGTCTTATGAATGTTTGATTGTGGGTCAGACTATCACGACTGTTGGCTTTATACTTGTTCAACCAAAAATACCAGGTGCCATCAGGAGGACCACCAGTGGGACCAGGACACTAGAAGCCCTCCCACTGATGCCCTCCCAAGTCACTCTGAAACTCCAAGTGAAGGGTGGGGTATAAATCCAACTCCTCCAACTCCTCCTTTTTTTCTTCTTCGACACTAGAAGCCCTCCCACTGATGCCCTCCCAAGTCACTCTGAAACTCCAAGTGAAGGGTGAAGTATAAATCCAACTCCTCCTCCTCCTCCTCCTCCTTTTCTTCTTCTTCTTCTTCTTCAGAATAAAATGGGACTTCTGACTAGACCTACATAGGAGTCCTCCCTCAGATATCAAACTCATTAGATTCCATGACAGCTGAATTCCTTTGAAGAAACAGGAAAATACATTTTTCAATTGATCTTGAAGCAAGGCGTGTACATGCTTTTGTAATATTTCTCAACTGACAAAATGGCTGTCAGTGTAACTTGAAAGTAACTGAAAGTAACTGAAAGTTACTTTTGAAACTACATATATCTGTCATTTGATCTTGAGGCTGGCAGTCGATCTACCATGGAAATATTTCTCAGACTCGTCCATCAACCTACCAGTTATTCAAATTGACTTTCATTTGAGATTTTGATTTCCATCTTTGAGGTGTATTTATGGGGCAACTGAATAGATAAAAAGGCCAAGGGATTTCAGAGAAATCTCATACCTCCCACATAATTACTACGCTGTACCTTACTTACTTTGACAAGCCTTTATTTGCATACGTATATACATACAATAGCTACGCTGTACCACATAATGAATACATTGTTAGCACAATCTTAATAACACTTTCCTTGAGTAAGCCCCATGCAATAGACCTAAGTAGGATTCTGAGTAGACATAGTTAGGATTCCTGCTCTGTATCATTGAGGCTATAATATATTCAGTTGACAGAAAGCCTTGACAATCCAGGAAATTTTATCATCCAATTTAATGGATGAAAACAGATGATAAAATCTTCACTAAAATTTTAGCATCTAAGATTGAGAGTGTGTTCCAACTTAAGTAAATCCAGATCGATATGGTTTTATTCTGAAACAGTTCATTGCAGATGCAATTAGGAAAGCTGTGGGTCTTTTGTTTCATTCTAAAAAGGGAAAATAGGAATTAACATTGATAGCTCTAGATCTCTATAAAGCCTTTGATTCAGTCAATTGGGATTACTTTCAAAAGGTATTAAATGTTTATGAATTTGGAAATAAATTTAATAATGCCATTTCAGCTATCTATTTGTCATATACAGCTAGTATAGCAATAAATGTGTTTCCAGCTCAATAAACATTAATCGTGGCACTAAACAAGGGTGCCCACTCTCCTTATTGCTTTTTATCTTAGGTTTGGAGCCATTAGCTAATTAATTAAGATCTAATCAGGATATCAGAGGAGTTAAATGTGGAGAAAAAGAACATCTGTTAACAATGTATGTGGATGATATGTTGTTATCTCTCACAAATTTGACAGAAGCGATACAACCTTTAAGAGGAAGAACTCTCAAAATTCAATCAAATTTCTGGTTTTAGGGTAAACGATGAAATCTAATATACGTTGCTGTAATATTCCCCCTACAATTCAATTGAAAGCCTCTCATACTTTAAATATACCATTAGTATGTAAAAGTTTTAGAAATCTTGGAATAAAAATGGATCTAATTAGATGGGCAAAGCAGAAAATAGCTGTGACTACCTAAGTTCCAATGATTAAAATGTCTGTTCTTCCATGATTATCTTTTCTGTGTTATGTATTACCTCTTCATATTTTGGACAAGATTTTGAAGGACTGGCAATTAAAATTAGATCAATTTATTTTTAACTCTAAGAATCCAAGAATGGCAAAACTTCTAAAGTATCACCTGCTGGATGACCTTGGGCAAGCCATAGTTCTGGCACAGCTTTTCTTGAAAAAGAGCAGTTTCTGTCAGAGCTCTGTCAGCCCCACCTACCTCACAGGGTGTCTGTCGTGGGGAGGGGAAGGGAAAGGAGTTTGTAAGCCACTCTGAGACTCCCTTGGGTAGTAAAAGGCAGGGTATAAATCCAATCTCTTCTTCTTCTTCTTCTATTTGAGAAGGAGGGTGGGACATTCTGAATATTTCTTTATACTACGATGCATATCGATTGAGACATTTAATTCCTTGTCTATCCTTCTCTAAGGAAGTAAGTTGGCTAGAGTTAGAGAGATTTAAATTTGAAGAGATGGGGAATATCACATTATATGATAGCACGGAAGTTGAACTCACTGTTAACACTCCATCATGGCCCTATTTTGGTATGGAGGAAATGAAAAAGAGTATTATACCCAGGTATTTCCCCATTGACCCCCATTTTGTATCACCTTAAATTTGTTTTCATTAAAAATTATGGTTCATGGTGCAGAGACTCTTTTCTTAATCAAATAACCTTAATGAATGCAAATATGACCCCATTAAATAATAGTTGTGCTGAGGGGGGGTTGCTGCTCCACCCCTTGGTGGGAGCACAAGGACCTGTGAGGTTCTATGTCAACCCCTTTGCTTTTCAACATCTATGAAAAGCTGCTGGGATCCATCATGGCCCTATTTTGGTATGGAGGAAATGAAAAAGAGTATTATACCCAGGTATTTCCCCATTGACCCCCATTTTGTATCACCCCAAATTTGTTTTCATTAAAAATTATGGTTCATGGTGCAGAGACTCTTTTCTTAATCAAATAACCTTAATGAATGCAAATATGACCCCATTAAATAATAGTTGTGCTGAGGGGGTTGCTGGGAGCACAAGGACCTGCGAGGTTCTATGTCAACCCCTTTCCTTTTCAACATCTATCAAAAGCTGCTGGGGGAGGTTATCCAGAGATTCGGGGTTGAGTGGCCACCAATTTGTGGATGACACTCAGCTCTATATTTAACTTCCGACAATTCCTAGGGAACCAATGCCTGGAGTCAGTTTTGGAATGGATGAGGGCTAATAAACCAAACTTAATCCTGACAAAATGGAGGTGTTACTGGTGGGGGGAAGGTTTGACCCTGGAAGTGAGATATCGCCTGTTGTGGATGGAGCTGCACTCTCCCTAAAGGAGCAGGTTTGTAGCTTGGCAGTGCTACTGGACCCAGGTCTCCTGAATATTACTTCTGCTTCAGCTGGTGAGCCCTGCCTTGCCCCTGTGGTGCATGCCTGGATAGAACCTAGATTCAGTTACTGCAATGTGCTTTCTTTGGGGTTGTTCTTGAAGACTGTCTAGAAGCTACAGTTGGGACAGAATGCTGTGGCCAGAATGTTGACTGGAGTGGGTTGTAGGGACCATATCACCCTGGTCTCGTCTTGTTCCATATACACCAGCCCACAATTTGCTTTCAGGCTCATTCAGGCTGTTAGCATTGACCTACACAGATGGGGCCCAGCATTTGGGGAGACCACCATCTCCCATAGGAACATACCCATCAAATCTGGTCATCTTTGGGGACCCTGCTTCTTGTGCCCCCACTATCTGAGCTTAGATGGGTTGGGTTGTAGGGACCATATCACCCTGGTCTTGTTCCATATACACCAGCCCACAATTTGCTTTCAGGCTCATTCAGGCTGTTAGCATTGACCTACACAGATGGGGCCCAGCATTTGGGGAGACCACCAACTCCCATATGAACATACCCATCCACTCTGGTCATCTTTGGGGACCCTGCTTCTTGTGCCCCCACTATCTGAGCTTAGATGGGTGGAAGAAGAAGGAAGAGGAGGAGGAGGAGGAGGAGGAGACTGGATTTATACCTCACCCTTCACTACTCAAAGGAGTCTCAGAGCGTCTTACAATCTCCTTTCCCTTCCTCTCCACCCAACAGACACCCCTGTAAGTGGGGTTGAGAGAGCTCTTTTGAGGACTGCCCATGAGAGAAGCCAATGTTCCCTCTAAGCTGTGGAGTCTTGTGAGCAAAAATTCCACTTTGGGAGCTACTGGCCTTAAAGTTGTGAGTGAGAGATTTGGCTACTGAGATTAGAGACTGCTCTCCTAACCACTACACCAAACTGGCTCCCAGGAAAAGGCCATATTAGTTAAGGTGCCAAAACTCTGGAACATCATCTCCAGGGTGATTCATCATCTTCTAAGAGCAGGTGAAGACTTTTTTGTTCTGTTTGGCATACCCCCACCACCACCGCCACACACATAACTGCTTTAGGACCTCTTTCCTGGTTTTGGTGTTATGTGTGTTATGTGTTTATATGTTTTTTATGCATTTGTTTTATATATAGCGTATTTTAAATGCTGTTTTAATGTTCTGATGTCCGCTGCCTTGGGGACCACTCAGCTTAGAGGGAACACTGGAAAGAACAGCTCTGAAATAACTTGTGACTGACCCAAGGTCACACCAGCAGCTGCATGTGGAGGTGTGAGGAATCAAACCCGACTCTCCGAGATTAGAGACTGCTCTCCTAACCACTACACCAAACTGGCTCCCAGGAAAAGGCCATATTAGTTAAGGTGCCAAAACTCTGGAACATCATCTCCAGGGTGATTCATCATCTTCTAAGAGCAGGTGAAGACTTTTTTGTTCTGTTTGGCATACCCCCACCACCACCGCCACACACATAACTGCTTTAGGACCTCTTTCCTGGTTTTGGTGTTATGTGTGTTATGTGTTTATATGTTTTTTATGCATTTGTTTTATATATAGCGTATTTTAAATGCTGTTTTAATGTTCTGATGTCCGCTGCCTTGGGGACCGTATTTGGGCTGAAAGGCAGAATAGAAATGTTTTAAATAAACGAATTTTTTAAAAATAAAAATAATAATACATTGTTTTTTGAGTATTTGTTTTACTTTTGCGACAACAACAACATTTAACACTTCTCTATTCCTGGAAAGGGGAAAAGTACCCAACACAGGGAACTTCTGAATATTACACATTTATAAACTTTTGATGTACTTCAATACGTGGTCTACTCCTACGCCGGAGCACGGGAAAGATAAAAACCAATGATTGAAAAAGTAGAATACCCCATAAAATCCATCCTTGAGATGGCACCAGGACACATGGACACCACTGTCTTCTAGCCGTTTCTTGTACAAGAGCCCATTGTCTCTCAGAATATCAAATTCACAGGTTAAAATGAAAGTATCAGGGAGGTGGGAAATGACAACATTTTCAGCCAGAAGTGGGCTCATTTTTGATTTGCATAAAGTCTTAATGACGAAATCTATGTCATGGAATGGGGACGTGGCCGATGAGATCTCCTGAACGGGGCCTCTCATTAGCAATTCCTTTGGGATACGATCCAAATGTAGCCATTTCTGGCACTTCATTATCACCTCTTTGGGGAATAGTGAGTCATTGTCTAGGTATTCCAACACGGTACTGCTCATGGTGAGGTACTGTGAAATAAAGAACAGGAAAACTCTGCGGGGCATGATGGGGACAAAATGGTTTTGTTGGTAAGAGGGCAAATTGAAATCCAGAAATTGGACCAAAGGGCAGATCAAGATCTGAGCACGTGGTTTGGGAAGGTGTGGTCTCTTCACCAGTTCCTGAACCACGTAAGCAGCAAACAGGCCTCCGAAGGAATCTCCACTAATTATAATCTGAGTCGGATCGACTCCGTATTTCTCTGCAGTCTTCATAAAGAATGTAGCAGCACTCAGGCATTCTCTGAACTGTGTGGGATATTGATACTCTGGAGCCAGGTGATACCTATAATAAAAACAAGGTTACGACTGTTTAAGGGTAATTCTGCATTGGCTTTTCCCAAACCCACGTCGGAACAGTAATTCCCCTCTGTATTGCAGGCTGCTTCCAAGCCCCACTTCTGGACCTCCTGATGGCACCTGGTATTTTTGGCCACTGTGTGACAGAGTGTTGGACTAGATGGGTCATTGGCCTGATCAGGGCTATTTTTGGACAGGAATGCACAGGAACGAAGTTCCGGCTGGCTCCCAAGTTGGCCACGCCCAGCAGGAACTCATTAGCATAATAGGCCACGCCTAATAGCAGAAACTCATTAGGATTGGCTACTTTAGGGGTGTGTAGCCTAACATGAAAAGGAGTTCCTGCTACAAAAAAAGCTCTGGGTTTTGACCACAAACAAGGGCCCCTGCCACACGGCAGGGAAAACACCCGGCAAAGCGCAGCTCACACTAACTCAGCTTCACTCCACAGCTGCAGAAAAAATAATCAGACTTTACTTAAAATAAAATACTTAAGGCTTAAAATACTTTCTTCCCTTCAGGAAATGTCACAGTTGGTCACCTTTAAAGAAGTTAAATATGGTTATCTTTTCACTTCGCATTCTCTGACTAACAGAAGCACCTTCTTTTCCTAATATCGAGTGCTCAAAATTGTCATCCTGCAACCCAGAATGAAGTTGCAAAGACAGAAAAGCATCAAACTATGGTTTATGAGTAGCTGATCTGCATTATTATTCCCACCTTTTAAGTGTTGCTTACCACTTCTTTGGGAGGCCAGGTGACATAGTGTAGCCCAGTCCAGTGTTGCTCACAGTTTTTTAGCCTACAGCTCACACATTTTGTCTTAGCTCACGAAGGATGGCTCCAGAGGAAATTAATTTATGCAGCAGCCAAATTGCTCACTCACAACCTTAATGCCAGTTGCTCACAAAGTAAAATTCTTGCTTGCAAGACTCCACAGCTTAGAGGAAGCATTGGCCCACTCTCATCTGATCTTGGAAGCTAAGCAGGGTTGATACTTTTCACCCCATCCTCCACTGGTGGCCAGGGGAGGGGGTGACCTGACAAGTCCCTTGCTGTCAGTTGCAACTTGACGGGACTTACATAGGTGCACACTACCCCTGTGCAGCCCCTGCAGGTAGTGCCGACACTTGAGCAGCCCCATTCTGGCTCCAAATTTGGATGGCATCACAGGCTCCCTTGTTCATTAGAGGTGGGCACCGAGAAAGATTTTACCAGGAATATTTTTTTACCATGATTGCTTGTTTTTCGGTAGGACATTATCATCAGTTCAAACAGTCCAGTGGCACCTGAGCGGTGGGTGTTGCCTTCTGACACACTTCCGGTGATGTCAGGGGGTGTGGCATATGCAAATAAATTATGCCAATGAATTATGCTAATGAGCTCCTGCATCTCTTTTTCTACGAAATGACCCCTGGACATTATCATCAGTTCAGGATTCAAGTCCATGCGTTTCCAGGGTTCATGACCATTATTTTAATTGAGGAATTACTATGAGGGTCTAGGGCAGCTGTTTATAAAGCTAATTGCACTGTATTTGCATAGAACATTTTCCTCTCTCTAATATACCACCGCCCCAAGTTTCAAGTGAATTGGACCAAGAAGGTTAATTTTACAGACACCTGAAGTAAGATACTTCTCAGCAAAGTCTCGGTTTTCTCCACTGTTTACTAAAATGGCGGCCAAGCAACAGTTGAGCAGGAGAGCGAGCTTCTGGCAAGTCACAGCATTTTATTTTTAAAAAACAGAACCCTGCCTGAATTTTTCTACTGTTACAGTCACTGACAATAAAATTTTCTTATCTTTCCACTGAAAAACTGTGCCTTTGCCACCCTTCTTCGTTGTGGCCTCTTTGTTTCCTTTCACAAAGTTTCCTTTCACATCCCTTTCTGTCGGTCTGCTGTGATGGATGTGTACTCAAATGAATGACAGGAATGCCTATTGGGAACAATGTGAAAGGCCCAAATGCTCATTTGATGCAATCAAAGCCAGGACTGCAGGGACCCAGAGCAGTCTATCTTGGCCCAATTAATGTCATTCTACTCAAAGAGGGGGAGGGGGCGGCTGTCATTCCAGGACCAGGGCAGGTCTCTTTAAACCCATTCTTCATTTTCATTGTAACATTTGTGTGGTGTAATGTATTTCAGTGGAGCTCAGGTAAGTCAATTGGCATTATATCCAACCATCCTTTAGACTTCTCCCATTGTTACCGATGGGCATTCTGTGTTGGCAGTGTAGATATTCAGCAAAGTGGAGCACAAGCTGTTTAAAGAATAAAGTTGGTTTATTAATAAGAGAAGAAACTTTGGAAGAAAGAAGAGAGAGAAAGAGAAGTTTGTCTAACTAGCTAGGAGAGAGGCAGTAACTAACAGTTCTCAGCAGGAGCGGGGGGGAAACCCTAACTGAGCCAATCAGGAGACAGGAAGGAGACTATTTGAAAATAGTAGTAAGTCCCTAATCTCACTATGCTAACTAGTTGCCCCCCTCTGCTGCCCCCTGCAGGATGTTCTTGTCATTTTCTTTATCTATGCACGATAGACCTTGCAAATTCCAACAGTCTTGTCATTCATTTTAGTGCATCCTGCCCCAGCTCTCTATCCAGCCAAAGAAGGCCAAAATGGCTCTGCCCCCACAAAGGATGGAGGGAAAGTGGCTCTCTGTGGCTTGTCTTCAGAGTTGGTTGGTTGGAAGGGCTCTGTGCTCCTCCCTTCCAAGGATCCAATTGGAAGGAAGGAATGCCATTGCTCAAGAAAGTAGTAGAATCAAGGAAAGGCATGAGCACATGCTGTAAACTGGTACCACCTGAAGTCAAAAACAACACAAATTTCTTTGGGGAGTTTAGTTTCATTTCACTAAGAATTCCCCATTCCTCATACCATTCTGAAACATCATGGTAATTCCCATGTATATCTTCAGCTCAGGTATTTTATTATGTACACTGCTACCTTTAATCCTTGCCTATACACGGGCCTGTGCCAGGAGGTGCCAAGTTCCACCCCACCCTATGATGAAAAGCCCAGCACTGCTGAATTTTGCAGTAGGGCATTTCTAAACAACCAATTGTTTTTCTTTATTTAATTTTTGTAATCAACAGAAAGGTGGAAAATACATGAAGTAATAATTAAGTAGTTAAAAGTTCAGTGCTTACAGAGGTTAAGACACTAAGCCAGTTTGGTGTAGTGGTTAAGTGCGCGGACTCTAATCTGGGAGAACCGGGTTTGATTCCCCACTCCTCCACTTGCACCTGCTGATGTGACCTTGGGTCAGTCACAAGCTCTGGCACAGCTGTCCTTGAAAAAGAGCACTTTGTGTCAGAGTTCTCTCAGCCCCACCCACCTCACAGGGTGTCTGTTGTGGGGAGGGGAAGGGAAAGGAGTTTGTAAGCCGC